TGACATAATGTGAGGTTCCCAGCACAGTGCTCTGTAGCATACTTGTGAACAGAAAATACATGGTCAATGAACATTGCATTAACGCATGTGAACATGTTGTTTTCCAAATGACTTCCTCGGATATAGTTGCTTTTTCAGCCTCTGTAAACTGTAAAGGAACAGCAGAAAATGTTGATTCGTCATGGTGATTGGTGGTCTTCACTTGGACCAGAAATATTTATGTTGTAATTAAAGTGTCAAGTGTGAGGGCCTCTGCTGCTGCTGCTGTCTCTGGCTGAGTGCTCGTGATAACAGGTCAGGGGAAACAGCATCAGCACTAACAGGACTTGTTAATGAAGCCCGTGCTCGGACCCCTTCCATGCCTGTAGAATCGCATTGTGTAGACTGGGGCCTGGATACCACATGGTTTCTACGCACACTGAAGCTTGGGAGGCAATGCTCAGCTAAGTGACCCTCAGCCCAGGATTCCAGTTAGGACGGCGTGGCCAGTTTGAAGACACACTGTCACCTGTGTCCTCCCCACAGAGTCTGCCTATTGGCGTGGGTAGGAGCATCCATGTGGTTTTAATTACCTGCCCCACGCAATTGTGAGGTGAGGCCAGGGCCAAGCATGTGGGCTCCCAGATCTGTTCATGAGAGTTGAGTTCAGCCTTTTCTCCAAAGTTGAGGTCACAGGACCTGCTCTGTTTGGGTTTGGTGGGGCTGGGTCAGGGTGGCCCGTGTTCCCATTGCAGTAGCAGAAATTGCTGCCGTCTGTGGCAGGGGAGGCACCTGAGGGCAGGAAGGAGAAACTCACATTTTGTCTTTATGTGGGAGCTCCGTGTTCCTGAATCTCCAATGTGACAAAGCGCAGGTGAATGTCACCTTTTCTGCACTTCAGGGTCCTTCTGCCTGTGGGTGTGGTGGGAGCAGAGGAAGGGGTCGTGCTGATGCCTTGAAATGCGTGTTCTGCAGGTGCAGCTGTGATCGTGCAGGTAACCTCAGCTGAGAAGGAACCTTGGAGAGGCAGGAGGAGGAGGAAGAAATGGCTGGTTCTCAGGTAAGAGTCTCCCAGGTCAGGGGGCGTGTCGACTTTTACTCCTAGAGTGTCATGTATTGAGGACTCGCGAACCTTTGCTTCTCTGCTTCTGAGATGTCTGCCTGACAAGATCGTCTCAACTACTTAATTCCCTTTTCTTCTTATGATTTTCAAGGGACTCTTTAAATCCTTTTCTCCTACATACCAGAACCTTCTCTTCATTCTCTCCATCCAGGCTTTTTACGTACTGTGAGCAGTTTTCACCTTGAATTTATGACCTGCAGTATTAAAAATGTTCCTTCCCAGATCAGCATGGGAAGGTGCAGATATACAAGATTCCTCTTGAGCATGGGGTTGGGTCCTCAGATAACAGTGAAGAAGGAAAATCTGCTATTGAGGTTCTATCTGGATGCCCCATTATCTGTACACCAAATAGGATTTAAAAATGCACACTTACGGCCGGGCACGGTGGCTCACGCCTGTAATCCTAGCTCTCTGGGAGGCCGAGGCGGGCGGATTGTTCGAGCTCAGGAATTCGAAACCAGCCTGAGCAAGAGCGAGACCCTGTCTCTACTAAAATTAGAAAGAAATTAATTGGACAACTAAAAATATATAGAAAAAAATTAGCCAGGCATGGTGGCACATGCCTGTAGTCCCAGTTACTCGGGAGGCTGAGGCAGGAGGATCGCTTGAGCCCAGGAGTCTGAGGTTGCTGTGAGCTAGGATGATGCCACGGCACTCACTCCAGCCCGGGCAGCACAGTGAGACTCTGTCTCAAAAAAAAAAAAAAAATGCACACTTATAGCTGGGCACACATGGTACACACCTGCAGTCCCAGCTACTTGGGAAGTGGAGGCAGGAGGATTTCTTGAGCCCAGGAGTTTCAGGTTGCAGTAAGCTATGGTGATGCCACTGCACTGCAGCCTGAGCAACAGTGACCCTCTGTCAAGAAAAAAAAAAATGCACATTTAAAGAGGATGACACTGGTCAGCCGCTCCCTCTGGGCCTCGGTCTTCTGCTTGCACCCGTGGAGCCGGTTCGCGTTTACTGACCAGGGTTCGCGAATTCTCTGCTTTGATCCCGTCTGAACTGTTCCCACCCCAGCTTTCTATTCTTTGAAAACACTAAAAATAATGTCCCTGCATCAGTTTTTACTAGAGCCAGTCACCTGTCATGCCTGGAACAGGGATCACACGCAAATTTCCCTTAGCCCCAGTAATCATGACGTGCACATCTGTAAGAAAAGGGGGCCGGTGGGCAAAAGCTCATGAACTCAAGGAGCACAACGGACACATCACAGGTATCGACTGGGCTCCCAAGAGCGACCGCATCCTCACCTGTGGGGCGGACCACAATGCCTGTGTCTGGAGTCAGATCGTGTCTGGAAGCCAACCCTGGTGATCCTGAGAATTAATCTTGCAGCCACTTTTGCGAAGTGGTACCCCTAGGGAATAAATTTGCGGTGGGAAGTGGAGCACGCACGACTCATTTCTGTTAGTTACTTTGAGCTGAAAATGACTGGTGGGGAAGCAAGCACATTAAAAAGCCGATTCGCTCCACAGTCCTTGGCTTGGACTGGCATCCCAACAGTGTTTTGTTGGCAGCAGGATCATGTGACCTCAAATACAGAGTGTTTTCTGCCTGTTTTTTTTTTTCCTTTTTTATTTCAGCATATTATGGGGGTACAAATGTTTAGATTATGTATATTGCCCTTGCCCCACCCAAATCAGAGCTTCAAGCATGTCCATCCCCCAGACGGTGCACACAGGACCCATTAGATGTGTATATACTCATCCCCTTCTCCCCCTCCCATCTGCCCGACACCCAGTGAATGTTACTACTATATGTGCACTTAAGTGTTGATCAGTTAATACCAATTTGGTGGTGAGCACATGTGGTGCTTGTTTTTCCATTCTTGGGATACTTCACTCAGTAAAATGGGCTCCAGCTCCATCTAGGATAATACAAGAGGTGCTAGATCACCATTGTTTTTGTGGCTGAGTAGAACTCTATGGTTTGCATATACCACATTTTATTAATCCACTCATGTATTGATGGGCACTTGGGTTGCTTCCATGTCTTTGCAATAGTGAATTGTGCTGCTATGAACATTCTAGTGCAGATGTCTTTTTTATAGAATATCTTTTGTTCTTTTGAGTAGATGCCCAGTAATGGGATTGCTGGATCAAATGATAGTTCTACTTGTATCTCTTTGAAGTATCTCCATATTACTTTCCACAGAGATTGCACTAGTTTGCAGTCTCAATTTTCTGCTATATTAAAGAAGTGGATGGAAAGCCAGCCAGTACGCCCTGGGGCAGCAAGATGCCTTTTGGTCAGCTGATGTCAGAGTTTGGGGGCAGTGGCACAGGTGACTGCGTCCATGGGGTCAGCTTCTCTGCCAGTGGGAGCCATCTGGCCTGGGTCAGTCATGACAGCACTGTATCTGTTACTGAAGCTTCAGAAAGTGTGCAGGTCTCAACTCTGAAAACAGAGTTCCTGCCACTCCTGAGTGTATCATTTGTCTCAGAGAATAGCATCGTGGCTGCTGGCCATGAGTGCCGCCCAACGCTCTTTAACGACGATGACCACGGCTGCTTGACGTTTGTCTCCAAGTTAGACGTTCCAAAACACAGTGTCCAGCACAACGTGTCTGCCACAGGACATTTCCATAACAGGGACAGGAGGGCCAAGACCAAGGACTGCGATACAGCCTTGGAGACGCTGCGCCAGAATAGCGTCACTCAAGTGTCTATTTATGAGGTGGACAAGCAAGGTCGTCGCAAATTTTGCACTACTGGCATAGATGGAGTCATGACAATTTGGGATTTCAAGAACTTAGAGTCTTCCATCCAGGGCCTCAGGCTAATATGAAGCTGAGTGAGCCTCTGCCATCCAGCACGACAAAGGGTGGCTGACCACAGCTCTGCCATGGGATGGTGAGGAAAGCCGCCCCAAGGAGACACTGCAAACACATACCGTGCAAATATTGTGTGGTTTTGTTTGAGTATAAAATCGGTGAAAGTGTTGATTTTTTAAAAGCAGTAAATTTTTTTTTTCCTTTGGCAATTCCATTCGTGACCAAAGCTTCTCTTTAAGTAGTTTATTGTGGAACATTGTGACACTAACTTAAAAAAAAGGGTAAGGGAGATATGTAAATTATCCACTAGAAAATTAAAATACTAAAAAAACAGAAAAGATAACATTAATTGCCCAAGATAACTCAGAAATTTCTGAAAAACAGATTAATTAGAAGAGATGTGCTCTCTAGGATGCTAAAGAAAGACTTTAAATACACTACTAGAGATTACGGAACATGAGAAATGTATGTGCTTTGAACTTTGCATAAAACTGGTGTTTTTCGTGATAACATTCAGATTATGATTCGCTTCTTTTTTTGGCCAATAATCTCACAGCAGTGCTGTGTGCTGTGTGCATCAGCACCTCGTGCCAGTCCGTGCCCCTACGGTTGATGTTCTTCACTTGGTTGAGGTGCTCTCTGACAGAGTCCTCCACTATAAAGTTAGTTATTCTTCATTTTATCATTAGTAAGTATCTTGGGGTGTTTTACTGACCGATGTACATAAATCATCACATTTGATCTGGAAGTTCCCCTTTCTTCTTAGTTCCTCTTTGTGTACAGTGTGCTTTGGGAAATGAAGGTTCTCGTCTTTATTTAGTGGTCAGATGAACTAGGATAAAACTCAAGCTCTGCCACTTACTGTATGTTTGACAAAATATTCTTTTGGGCCCAGAAGAGCTGGCATTGCTGAGAAGTTTGTTAGAAATGCAGAAACTCAATTTCCCCTCCAGATCTCCTGAGTCAGAATCTGCAGTTTAACGAGATGTCCAGTTCACTGCAGTGCACATTGAAATTTTAGAATTACCCTTCTAACTCGCCATGACTTTGCATATGAGAAACATATACAGCTTGTTGTATGTGATGTACATATACCACTCAAAAGTGTATATGCCTGTGTCGATGCCCTTAATTTTATACTTTATCATCCAGACAAGTACAGTGTCTACACTTGTTTTTGTGGATCTTTTTGCCACCCTCTGTCCTCAGAGTTAGGCAGTGCATTAGAGAGAATTACTATGTTAATTATTGGATCATTGCAGACATTCCTGTATGTCAGAGGCAGTTCTCTTCACTCTCATTTCACATTTAGGTTAAGAATGTTACCCATGGCTACTTGGTAAATACGTGTTTTTTTTCCAGGGATTGTTAACATTCGGGGATGTGGCCATAGAATTCTCTCTGGAGGAGTGGGCCTGCCTGGACCCTGCTCAGTGGAATTTGTATAGGGACGTGATGCTAGAGACCTACACGAACCTGGTCTCCCTGGGTGAGGATAATTTCCATTTAAGATTCCTAATGCACCGTTAGGGTTTCATTTTCTTTCTTTGTGGAATTTCTTTGGGGGGGAGTTTCTCCTTTATATGAATGAGTTTCAGATCCCTGCTTTCAAGGAAAACTTGGGGGCTTGTTGGTGTAGAAAGGAAAATCTTCAAGATGTTTGTTTCATCTTGACATGAACCTTCCCCTTGCTTGAACTGATCTGTACACTTCACTGTAGATTGGTGACAAGTCTAGAAATTCAGTCGTATAAAACATTATTGTCCAGACCTTAAAATCCAATTTTTACCACGAATTTTTTTCTTTTTCTTATTTTACCACCAGTTTTTGATTCAGTAATACTGGACAGTGGACCTAAGGACCCTCAAATGTAAAATATTTTCTAAATATTTTAATGGTTCTGTTAGTAAGTAGTATTTTGAGTTGAATTTTCTACAGTCTTCTATAATGTTTATTCTCTACTGAGCACAGTACTAGGTTGGTAATTGGAGAATCCGAGCAAGAGTCATGTTGCTTTTTTCTAATAAATAGGTCTTGCTGCTTCTAAGCCAGACCTGATCACCTTTCTGGAGCAAAGAGAAGACCCTTGGAATGTGAAGAGACGTGAGATAGTAGCCAAACACCCAGGTAGGTTGGAATGAAGGAAGCAGATGACACAGGCGAGAAGTCTGGTGGTCTAGGAGGAAGCCAGACCTTAAAGTGTGGTTTGGGAAGATTTGCTCCAATGGAAATGGTTTCTGAGAAGTCTGGGTTTCTTTCTCTCGCTCTCACACAGGGGCATCTTCTGTCCCATGCTCCAAAATTCCCTAAGGACTCACTTCCCTTCAGTGATCTTGCTTCAAGGGTACAGTAAGAGCCAGTGTCCTCTTCATAGCTTGTAAGGGACTGCATAATCTGAATACTCTTCCATTGCTTTTCAGGACATAAGACTATCTGTACATTTTTTTTTTTTTTTTAATTTCAGCATATTATGGGGGTACAGATGTTTAGGTTACGTGTGTTGCCCTTGGTTCCCCCCATCTGTACATATTTTTGAGAAAGTCTATTTTAAACCTTTTCTTATGTTCCATTTTTGCATCATCTAAAATGTGTGTAAATATTGGTGTTATTGATATTGCCTTCAGAAATCCCAGGAACACCAGTGACAGATGCACATTTTCTGCTTTAACATTTCCAACACATGGAGGTATCCATTGTTATTTTGCAGAAATTTATACTTAGTAATTCTATCAGAACAATAAGAATCTGTCTAAATGTAAAAAGTAAAACCTGTTTATTTTACTTTAGAATGTTATTTTTTAGTATGAACTGAGATTAATAATTTAAATTCTATATTTTCATATTCCTCAACTATAGTAGAGTATAGTGTACCTACTTACGTCCTAGATTTCTTAAATATACTATGTCATTAGGGATCATAGAACATTGCTGAGCATATATTAAATTCCCACTTGTGACCTTATATTTTAATAACTCATTTTATAAGTTTCTCTTGGTTAGTATGAAGCTTACCTTGACTGTGTCATTCATATATGTGTATGAGTGTGTGTGTGTGTATATATGTGTGTATGTGACATATAGGTTTGTATACATATATATTTGTATACAGTGTAATTATTTGATACATTTAAATTATAAAACAAATAATACACAAGTTAACACATCACCTCACGTAGTTATAGTTACTTCTTTGTATGTAGAACACTTAAGGTCTGCTGTCTTGGCAGATTTGGGGGAACAAAATATTATCTATAGTCATAATGCTACACATTAAATCCTCAAGACTTATTGATCTTATAACTGAATGTTTGTACCCTTTGGAAAGCATTTTTCTATTTTCCCCACCTCTAGGCTGTGGAAACCACCATTGTACTCTTTGATTCTACGAGCTCAACCTGATTCTTAGAGTTCCCATATAAGTGAGAACATGAAGTATTTGCCTTTCTGTGTATGGCTTATTTCACTTAGCATGATGTCCTCCAGGTCTATCATGTGTAAATGGCAGGATTTCATGGTTTTTCATGGCTGAGTAATATTCTATTGTGAATATATACCACATCTCCTTTATCCATTCTGTGTCCACAGACATTTAGGTTGTTTTCATATCTTGGCAATTGCAATACTGCCATAATATAGGGGTGAGGATATTTCTTTGAGATTCTGATTGTTTTTTTTTGAGACAGTCTAATTCTGTCACTCTGGGTAGAGTGCAGTGGTGTCATTGTAGCTCACTGCAACCTCAAACTCCTGGGCTCAGGAGATCCTCTTGCCTCAGCCTCCTCAGTAGCTGGGACTACAAAACAGGCATGCACCAGGTTTTGGGGCTAATTTTTGTATTTTTAGTAGAGATGGGGTCTCACTTTTGCTCAGACTGGTCTCAAACTCCTGAGCTCAAGCAATCCTCCCACCTTGGCCTCCCAGAGTACTGGGATTACAGGCATGAGCCACCACACACCACAGTTAAGATTCTGATTTTATTTCCTTTGGTTATGTACAGAGAGGTAGGATTGTTGGGTTGTGTGGTAGCTCTATTTTTTTGTTGTTGTTGTTGTTTTTAAAGAGCCTCCATGCGTTCCCTCCCTGGCCACTTCTCTCCCTTCCCATGCACCTGAGCACAAGCTTCTCTAGGCAGATTTTCTCCACCCATTTCCCCCCTCATTCAAACCAACTCACGCAAATAGATGTTACAGCCTTGTGAACTACACTAACTTCATTAAAATTCCTAAAGCCCCTTCAGCTCAACCCAGATTCATACTCTAGGTTTCTCCTCCCTGGGATCCCTGGGAAACCTACAGAGCACAGGGGAGTGGGCTGACTTTCTCTACCTTCTCCACTCTTGTTTGTTTCTCTTCAGCCTGGGGGCTGTGTTCCCACTGCAGGTACTCCGGGCAGTTTCACTGTTCTCTTCTTTCCGTCATTATACAGGGTGAGGTGTCTACGTGCTGGATGCCCTCCTATAAAGTCCTCTCCATGCTCTTCTTGCCTCTGATGTGCATGCTGTTTGTGGGCTATGGGTGGAAACAGGCCAAATTGATCTCCTGACACTTAAAGAAATACATGGTTCTTGAGAAAACAGTGTGTGCTAATATGTCATTGGGAATAGTACAAGGGTCATATACTCTTTCCTGGTTTTTATAATGAACCAGTTTATAACTCAGCAACAGTGTACTGTATTTCTTTTTCCTCATTCCCTTCTCAATACTTGTTTTTCTCTTTTTTTTGGTATTAGCTATCCCAAAAGGTGTGAAATGATATCATTGTTTTAATTTGCATTTGCCTGATGATTGGTGATGTTGAGCACCTTTTAATATACCAATTGGCCATATGTATGTGTTTTTTGGAAAAACATCTATTTAATCTTTTCTCTGTTTTTCAGTTGGGTTATTGCTATCATTATTGTTTTTGTCTTGGAATTGTATGAGTTTCTTATATGTTTTGCATATTAACCTTATATCAGATACGTGGTCTGCAAATGTTTTCTTCCATCCTGTAAGTTTTCTTACTTTATTGTTTTCTTTGTTGTGTAGCATTTTTGTGTGATGCAGTCTATATTTGTTTTTGTTGCTATATTTTTTGTGTCATATCCAAAAAATTATTGCCAAGACCAATATCAAAAAGATATACCAGGCCGGGCGCAGTGGCTCACGCCTATAATCCTAGC